GTTACTAGTGTTAGTGCCTCAATATGGCTACGCTCGTGAAAGCAATACAACAAACTCAAACGCGTCTTCGTCCAATGTTGTCAACTAATATCCGTATTAATTTTATTTTCCTCAATTCTCCGGAGAAATTTTCATAAAAATTTGAAAAACCCGGAATTCCGGGAAAATCCGGAGGACTTTCATCAAACGCAGTCAATATGTCCCCGTATGATCCCAGAGCATTGCGGAAGAATGTCACCAATAAATCAGTTGACACATACGTTGTACAACAAAACACATTTTTTCGTACCTCATATTGAAGGTCTTGATAGGGCTTGGCCAATATGCCCTCATTAGGTAGGGTGATAACCAAAATGTGATTTTTTTTTTTGTTGTTTTTTTGTTTTTCAACGTCACTCGCCAATGTAAAAAATCAATGTGCAACCAACCAGAAATTGAGTGGTAGCTCATATCGACGGTCTTGTTGACGACATTGTCGATGGGCAAGAATAACGACCGCAAGACAATTTTGGGATCTAAAATTTGCCTCACAAAGAACATCAGAAATCAATGTGCAACCAACAACATGCATCATTGGGCAACAGAAATCAAAACGTGGGACAACCGCTTACTTACATTGTCAACAATTATCAGGGAAATCGACCAGCAAGTTATGAGTGTTGATTGTTTTTTTTGTTTTTGGTTTTTTTGAAACTCTGGCAGCCTGTGACTTTCACTATGGCAAGCAACTGCAGAGGTCACGCCTGTGTATAAGAGCAATTCTTCAAGCTTGCTCAGATGCAACTTTTTTTTTTTTTAACCCACAAACATAAAACAAAAGTGCCGGCTATCAGAGTGGGAGCAGCTGTGAGGGTGTCGCCCTGGAGTGAGGCGAGGTTGTGCTGATACAAAATACACACCACGTGCGTGTAGCTGTTGTCACAAGGTCCGACTGGAAAGACGAGAAAGTGTGTGTGCGTGTTGCCTTCCTTACCATCGTACACAAATTTCACGTTGTCCTCGTGGGCCGCTGCTGATGACTCCCCCTCCTGCTGGGGGTCCGGGGGCAGGCCCGGGCAGGGCAGGTGGTACTTTTTGCCGTTGGGGCGGTTAAAAACAATCTTAGGTGCGGGGAGACTGAAGGCGAGAATGAAAGAGGCATGTCTCCTTTTGGTTGGGGGTGAAGTCAAAGCAACCTGGTTGACAACAGCTGAATAGAGTACCATGTGTCACCTTTGCCTTTGTAACAAGGTCACGCACAATACAGGCAAGGTGTCAAAGGCTGTGCAGTGCGCGCGCGCACACACGTACAGCGCTGGATAAAATTTGGAGACAAAAAAAAAAAAACCAAACACTGGACATTAATAGTATTCTGATTGTGACCATTTTTGATTTTCTGCCAATAAATTATGTTGATAATGCTGTGTTTAGGAGTTATGTCGTCAATAAGATGAAACAAAAATGTCCATTTTACTCAAGTATATCTGGACCACCAAAATCATAGAAATTGATCATTATTTCAGTACTAAGCGATTAATTTTTGCCAGAGCCGTATGTGTGTGTGTGTGTGTGTGAGATGCGTGAATAAACTGCCACACGTTTGTCCTTAGCTAACACCACCTGTTAGTGACTCATTAATAGCCTCAAAAACACAGTAAAAACATTGTGGTGGTTTTTGTTTCTTCCCTCAAGTCCTTTAACGCAACACTCACTCGGGCAAACTCCAGGTCATCTGCTTGTGCTTGAAGTCGTTTGTTTTGTTGTCGAGCGGCTGCGTGGGTCCTAAAAGACCACAAATTATGAATATTTCTTTTTTTAATGCGGTGACGTTTTTTGTGCTTACCTGTACGCCGCTGGGTCACTAGTTTACTTGGACCTCTGGTGATAGTGTACATCATGCAAAAAGTTACACTTGGCTACTTGCTCCGGGCTGAGAACACCAAGACTCACACTTTTGTTGTAAAACCTCCGTGGGGTGACAAAGTTGTGTAAAAAACAAAACGAAGAAGAATGCCACCACTTCTGAGTCGAAAACGTGTCCCGAAAAGAGCGACAATGTCATGCATGCTGCATTCGTAACAGTTAGTGGACCGAGCCGTCAAACGCACCACTGGCCCACGTGCTTCTCACGCCCCCTGGCGCCTCTTAAAGAGACAGTGCCTCCGAAACGGGAAGCGACGTTAAAACGCCATCGTAAAAAATCGAATGCCGCAGGAGTTGTGCTTAATTCTCGTAGCTTTATCATTTGTTCAATTTAGTTGCTGTAATTTATCAACTTTTTTTAAGTCAGGGAACGTGCAGAAAACCGTGTAACGTACCGATGAGGCACAAGATGGCAGCAGTGGCAACAGATCACAGTGATCACGGGTCGCGTTTCACACCACAGAAGAAGAAAAAGGAGGAAGCCGGCCATTTCCCAAGAATCTTTGCGCGTCCCTTTTGCGAAGTCAATTTTCAAACTTTTAAGGCATGTACTTTGTACGGAACTGTGAGAATTCTGAGATAAAAGTGAGAATCTTGCCAACCTTGTTTTTTTTTTCTTCATTGGCCCTAATCCTCGTAGAAGAACCTTTTTCCGTACTCTTCCGTACATTTTGAATTAATGAAATTCTGTTAAAATGTGCACACCAGCCACAACGTTACCTCCCTGCTTAAAGAAAAAGCCGAGGACAGTTTTGTTGTTTTCGTGCTGGTCTTGTTGATGTCCACATCTACTAGCTGGGCAACAGTTGGGGTTTACGAGTTACTAGAAAGGCCGCAACATCACAACAGAAACGTCCAACATTCAAACAGCCAATCCGCGCGTCACTGGGCAACCGCTCTTCGATCTGAGCCACAGCCACCCAGGGGCCAGCAGTGCAGGTGAGCCAACCTTGGCTGTTTTGCTTTGCTCTTGCTGGTGACAACATGCACCATTGAAGGAGGAGACCCTATGTGGTGTGAGAGACTAAACAAGTCTGTGCAAAGATGAGCCTAAATTTTCGCCCATCATGTCGCTAAATTATCAAATCAAAAAGGTTCACTTTTATGATAGTGCAGATCAAAGTTACTGCAGGCGACACCATTTGCACCTTTCAGCGCCAATGTAAACAATATTCGCCTCCTGAATTGGATGCGGATCGAATGTGCAAATGTTGCCTTTCTAATGTTGTGCCCGATTATATCCAGTGGAAGCACATTGTCGTTAAAGAATGAACAAGCCGTTTTGGTGTGAAATGGAATTAAAAAGTGACGGATAGTTGCTGCTATCTTGTAGGCGTGTGAAACATCCAAAGAAAGAAGAACTCTCGACGCCAGCAACGTCAAAAATAACACGACCTCCGAACAATACGCACACAAGTCGACCTACAAAGACCTGGGTAACACATTTTGAAATGATTTTAGCCAGTACTGTACTGTCTTAATTTTAATTGTTCTCAGTGGCTTTCGATGTGCTATGGCTTGTTGCTTGGTCCCATTTCGCTAGTTTCGCTTTCACTCTCAAGCCAATTCCAGCCAGAATTTACACGTAACGTTGATTTGTATAGTTGATTTGAAGTACGGTGTCTCGACTGCATGTATTGTACGACGGACAGTTTTTTTGTGGTTACGGACTATGTGCATACGAGGCTCAAGAATAGTCACGTTGCACCCTCTTACAGCTTTGCGTTTTGTATGTAAGGGTGCCACTTGTTTTTCAAACAAGTATTTACTGATCCAAGTATCGATATAATCCATCAAAACCAAAAAGCGAGTATTGATACTTTTTTGGGGGGGGGGGGTCCCCCTGGCTTCCTCACGCGTTTCCTTTTTAACTCATGCCCATGTGAACGGTACAAACATGTCAATGAGAGCTGGGAGCAGTCCACGTCTGAGACGAAATTGAAGTTAAATGCCAAGTATACTACCTGCCAGCAGAGGGCGCAATTTTTCTTCTCGGGTGCGATCTGACCAGCTGTGCGAGACCAGTGGAAAGGAAACCAAAACAATGGTAACTTCCGTCATCGCAAAAGCAGGAAAGTTCGCATCAGATAACTTTTCCGGAAGAAAGCCAGCAGGCTTCTGATGTGACGCAGCGCGGTCACGCAGAAATCGCTGTCGTCTGGATGAGTCTAAAGCGCCAATGCGTGCCCAAAACATTTCCAAATCTTGTATTTGCTTTTTGGGTAAGTGACGGCCGAAAATTGACAGACGGACCTTCAGTCGGTGTTGACCGCCCACCACTGTCTGTATTTGTTGCTGCTCTGCAACGTAGAGCACTGGTGTCAAAGTCAAGGCCCGGGGGCCAGATCTGGCCCGCCACGTCATTTTATGTGGCCCGCGAAAGCAAATCAATGATGTCAACTTTTATGATGCTTGCGAAAATCTCAACCTAAATTCTCATTGGTAATAAGAGTCTCAACCTAAATTCTCATTGGTAATAAGAGTGATACTGTAAGCATTTTCTTGTTACCAAACCCCTTGTTACAATAACTTAAACAATAGGTGAATAAACCGTTATTCTTGACTTTTTCATATGGTTTCAGTCATAACGGCCCTCCAAGGGAAACAAACTAAAATCTGGCCCGCGACAAAAATGAGTTTGACACCCCTGACTTAAAGTATCAGTTGTTTCAATGTTCAGAACGATGTACCTCTATGTTAATTTATGTTTACCCTTCTACCAGTTTGATTGAGCTTTTGGTGTTTAATGTGCACTGTTTGATTCCTGTTTGTTTATTGTGTGGATTTTACAGTCAATTTCAACTTGGAGTGATCAACACACGGCTTGGAGCAAGTACGCTTGGAAACCCTTGGAGAAATATGTAAGCAAGAGTGTCTTTCATTTCCTCAAAATAATGTTACACAGCAGTTGCACTTTTTTTTTTAAAGAAGTACAGTCAAACCTCGGTTTTCGTCCATAATCCGTTCCAGAAGGCTGTTCGAAAACCGAATTGTTCGAAAACCGAAACCATGTTTCCCATTGGAATCAATGTAAACTTTTTTAATCCGTTTCAAGTCAAGAAAACAACTTTTTTTAAACCACTATTTTTACAATTTTACACGATAAACTGTACACATGTAATCAGAGATCAGGTAATATGTAAAATACTGTACAAACAAACTGTAATATGTTTTATTTTCACCAATTTTAACATTAACATTGTAACATAAATATTGAAGGAACATCTCTCTCTTTCTCTCTCTCTCTCTCTTTCTGTCATGGGGCGTGTGCCTATCCCAGCTGTCATCGGGCAGATGGTCTTTCGTTTTTAGGATGCTGCTGATGGTGGATTTCGGCATCCCGAACTCCTTAGCCAACACAGACACACACACACCTGACTCATATTTCGCGATCAAATCTTTCTTAAATTCTATAGTTTTTCGCACTATTTTCCTCTTTTCTTCACCAGGTTTACTGTCACATAATAGGCTATTATTTTATATGAGTTGCTTTATGAAAGTTTGCAGTGTGTACATCATACTCCAGTTAATCGACAGGTCCCGCCTATAAGGGGGAGTTCCAGGAAGTAACTCTTAGAGTGAGCACACCGCATGTTTTACTGCTCTGCCACATTGTTATTAAAAGTCACATAAAACGTGAACCTTGCCTGCTGACCATCTTTACATTTACCACTTCCACTTGCTTTCTTTGGTGCCATGGTTAGGGGCTGATACACGATGCAAAAATAGCAGTCCGATATTACGTAGTTCTCACCAAACACGTCTGCTTAAAAAAAAAACAAAAAAAAAAAATCTTTATTGAAAAATACAAACTCGTCTGCTCACAATGGACGCTACACGATGAAGCTGTTTCTGTATGATTATTGCATCATAATGAGACACCGGGCACCAGAGTGTTGATTATGTGCCGCTGTATTGAAAACTGCCGGCCGTAAACAAACGCACGCACTTCTCCCTTGCTGCTGGAGCAAACCATTCTGAAAAGAGGGGGGTTTCACTCCCCCTAACAGAAGCGTCTCACCAAACACGTCTGCTTTTTTTTTTTTTTTTTTTTTTAATTTTTATTGAACAATACAAACTCGTCTGCTCACAATGGACGCTACACGAGGAAGCAAAGCCAAGAGGAGTGACGTGACGCATTCAAGTGCGCTCAGTTTATTTGAGAACCGAAATTTGTTCGTCATCCGAGGCATAAAAAAATTTGAAATTTTTGGTCAAAAACCGAATTGGTCAAGAACCGAGACGTTCAAAAACCGAGGTTTGACTGTACTTAAAAAACGTCCCACCGCAAACTGTATTTGGCAGTATGTCTGCAGGGATGGCAATTTTCCGCGGATACGTGGAAATCCGTCGTTTTATTTCTTAAATTGATCATTTTTGTGAATCGTCTAAATCCGTTGAGAAAATTTTAGGGGGGGTCAGGTACCTTATCGTCAAGTTTTCACGAGCTCTCCCGATCAGTCTTTCCATCTTCCGATTGTAAACAGCCCTGCGATTGGACATGTATGAAAGCTTCAACTAATCAGATCACTGGAAGCATTATTTGTTGCGGAAGTCTTAGCTTGATTGTATACGGCCCAGCGATTGGTTACCTACAAGCGATTGGACCAATCAAATTGCATGTAACATATTTTTTTACCTGATTCATGGCGGCCTGTTCGTCTCGCAAATTCATTGTTCTGGGAT